TTTCATGCGAAGTTTTTGCCACTTAAAAGGCAATATCTCTCTAATTCGCAAGATCTTCGAAAGCGAAGACAGTTTTGGAAAGCGGAAGGTTTGCGCTTTCTAACAGTATGTTTAGCTTCCTTCTACATTCTCTAGTTGAGGAGATATTTGCGTCGAGGATCTATCAAGGATGATTCTCGGCCGCTCAAAAAGCCGCTCCCTTCTTCACCATTGCAAGTGTAATTTGTTGACAGCGCTCGAAATGTGTCTAGAATAAATTCTCCCAACGTAAGCGACAAGAAACTGGCAATCGTCATCGTCCGATCTCGTCTCAGTATAGGCCATGCATCCGACCTCCACTCAAGTTGTAGAATCTATTGAAAGGTGTTACACATATGATGATGACCTGTTGACAGAAAGCTGTATTCTAGTAAACATATTTCGTAACCCTTATCTAAGTAAAAGCTTCATTTGCCTGGGATTTTCCCAACTCGCCCTGTATGCGACCGCTTCTTTACAAAACTGCCCGTCATTTCAAAGAGTTATAAGGCGCCAGAGCGGAGCTTACATAATGAGGTCCTCTACACCGTAGTACACATTTGCATTCCTTGTACTGCTGTCTAAATATTAGGTTGGCGGGAAAGTTTATGTCCCACTTTTTGAATTTGGTCTATCTCCTCTCATTTTGGCGGCGTCTGAGCGGCAACGTTAGCAACAACAGACAAGGTAATACTGCTTCTACCAGTATCATTGAATTGTTTTTTACTCCCCTTTTTGCAGTATGGAGAACGATTTTGTCCCAGATCGTCAGCACCTGCGTCATGTCACACTTTTCCTCTACCATTCCGGCTCTAATATGAAGGCTGCCGAGACCAAAATGAAGGATGTGTACAAGGACCATGCTCCCAGTTACAGGACCATTGTTCGCTGGTACAAACGTTTCAAGTGGGAGACTACACTCTTGAAGACGAGGAGAGGTCCGGACGCCCATCTGAACTCAACTTGAGTGAGCTGCGGCGTGTGGTGAAAACGGATCCATTCCAATCTACGAGGGAAATGGCGAGCACACTCGGAGTTCACAGTTCCACTATCGAATCTGGGCTGAAGAAATTGGGAATGAAGAAAAAGCTGGGACGATATGTTCCGCACCACCTCAAACCCGTCGATCGCGATCGTCGTGTGGACGCCTGCTTGACTCTGCTCAATTTGCACAAGGGAAATAGATGGCTGGAACATCTCATCACTGGTGATGAAAAGTGGATCTACTACAACAATTTCCACAGGAAAGCACAGTGGGTCGGTCCAGGAGAAACACCAAAAGAGGTTCCCAAAGATGTTCACCCCAAGAAGGTTATGCTATCAATTCTGGTGGGATGTACATGGGCCAGTACTTTGGCAACTGCTGGATGAGGGAGCTACTGTCACTGCCAATCTCTACACGCAGCAGCTCCGAGATTTGAAGCGAATTCGTCGATCAGAGGGTAGGAAAAGTTCGAAAAGTCTACTTCCAGCATGACAATGCCAGACCGCACGTTGCAAGAGAGGTGAAGTCGGAGCTCGTGAAGTATGGATGGACCGTACTCCCTCATCCCCCTTATAGCCCAGACATCGCTCCTTCCGACTATTGGTTGTTCTCCGATCTAACTCGTTACTTAGATGGAAAAAGCTTCAGAACTCGCGCTCAGGTCGAGACCGAGTTGACGTCGTATTTTGCCTCGCGCCAGCCTGCATTTTGGAGGGATGGTATCTATAAGCTGCCTGAACGTTGGCAAGAAGTAGTCGACAACGATGGTGGATATATTTAATCTTGTGTGATTCTGTACATTAATAGAGCTTGTTAATAAAAAATGTGACAAAACTTTTCCGCCAACCTAATAATTTGTACTTTTGAAAGTTCAATTGCTCTTATCTTTGAATTTGCAGACACTGACCAAGGGGAAGGTCGAAACCTTAAAGGCAGCGATTACGATAGGTTCAAGAAGGGTTTGAGGAGACGTGGTGGTGCTCAATGGTACGCCAGTGGCGAAAAAAGCGGAGAAATCCGTCAAGAAACGCAAAACGGGACCCCCTTTTTGGCCGTTGTTTTCACTCATGAACAGGTAACAGCTCAGAAAGCGGACGTATGAACGAGTTCACCGCAACGCGTTTGGTGGCACCATGCCAAACCACGCTTCAATCGAGTTGCTCCAGTTGTGCCGCTGCTGGCAACGCAGCTCGTCCAAATCACCAAGTAAACTAGTGGGCGGAGCGCTTTCAAAGTCCTGCTCAGCAACCAGCGCACCTTTCGTCGTGAAAGCGCCACACCTCGCTTCCCTGGCAGCCAAGTAACTGATTCGTGTGGTGCATATGCTTCCCCGATGCTCTTATCGTAATCGCTGCCTTTAACCACTAATGGCGCAACACCTGAGTAGCGGCTCTCGAACTGAATAAATAAACCACAAATGGGACAGTTATGGATCGACCTACCTCTTTTATATGTTCGGATACAAAAATATAGAATACACTACAGATACCCAGCTGGAAAAGGAATAGGCAAAAGTTAACAGCAAATCTGAAAATCTCGAATATAGAGGCGGAGCTAACTGGTGACTGTGTGGCAGCTATGCGCGCCGCAATGTACGACGCCAAGCCGCCTCGCGGCCGCACGCGTCTGAGACTGTCCAGCTCATGAGAGTTTGTCAGATTTCCGAATAGTATCAAAGAAGGAGGGCATACAGTGCGAATTAGATTTTCATTCATTATTTAAGCTTCAAACATACTTGGCTGGTAAGGCGAGAAATCTCAGCATTGACTTTCGAGTTATGAAAGCTTCTTTTGCCATGTCGCCGTAGTCCAGCGCAATTTGCCTATTAATCGATATGATCAACTGCTTAGGTTCAAGCAATATTTGTTAAAAAATTTGAAACTGGTGTCCAAAGATAATAATAGTAACAATAAATTAAACTAAATAAGTAAATTAACAAATTAATTCATATAAATAAATGAAACTACCATAAATAGAAGCGCTATCGCAGGAATACAGGCGCATCCTCTAGGCCCGTAAGTAAGTTCTGAGCCTTGAAGGGAGTAGGAACATCGGGGAAAATAAAAATGCTCACAAACCCTGTAGTATCTCCTCCGCGCCTAAGGCTCAATCCCATTTTTAACCAAAAGGAGATGTTTTACGCGATTTTAAAAGATTGCCACCACAATGCCCCGTATTTTGCGATAGCGCCTAATTATTTTCTGGACGTGACAAGACACAGTCCGATGCTGCACCTTACATTTCGCAACATAAGAAAGGACCCAGTGAATGCGAGCAGCCTTACCGCATATTCTTCACTCCCGTTGAAAGCCCTTTCAGCTTTTGTGTTCCCCAGCTCCTACTTTGGACGGAATCAAAAGTGTACGCTACGCAACCGCACGCACTAGCGGCCTATTTATTGCCCAATTTTCACCACTAACCTCTCAGTTCTCTCCTTCGCAGATGTCTCGTCGACCTCGAGCTCTCACATCACGTTGAGGTTGCTTCTGAACCGCCACTGCTGGCTGGTGTCCTATAGAGAAGTGTGGCTCCTAACATGAAGTGATGCCATAATGGTGAATATTCTGTGATGTTACCCCGTACTACTCCACTTGACCGCGCATGAGCCGGCATAATTTTGGTCTTCGCAGTGTTTTTCGTCTGAGCAAATCCAGAGATTCCGTCCTTAAAAAATCATTTGTTCGCAAGATGCTAAGGAGGGTAGCAGAAAAGGAAAGTGAAGGAGCAAAAGGGGACTGCGTCATGGGAAAACACAAGGTTAGTCTGTGAGCAATTGACTGGGTAATTCTTCACGATGACCGACATTGCCGGTGACATACATGAATGGTGAGTAGTAGAAGCGACCACAAGAAAGCAAGGTTCTCCGCCGCTACGCGTGACCCGCGAAAACGCGCGGTAACATATAGGTATTGATTTTACGCGCGCACAAGCAATGCCACTCAATAGGACAATTCACGACCTGTCCGAATTTTCAATTTCATCCTGAAATGTTCTAGGCTGACACTCACTGTTCACAAGCTGTTGGTCAAGGTGACTACCCACTGACAAACATCGCCGATGACATACACGACATTTAATTTGTGAGCTGGGAAGCTTCAAGCCGAACAAGAGGCGTAAGTTCAAAACATGCATGAGCTTACCTACTGCTACAGTTGTCATCAGATTTTTGGGTATTCTGCAATGCTCGCTTCTCGGAGTGAGTAGCAGCCTAAAACCTACGGATTTCATGGAAAGAAACAGATTCA